CTGGCTGGCGCCTCGTAGTTCAGGTGGTTAGAGCGTTGGCTGTACTCAAGCGTTGCCCTTACTGTTGTCAGTTCGAATCCCACCGAGGCTGCCGAGTTTTTCAGAATTGGGCTAAATGATTTATGAATAGTTGGCTGAATGACTTCCACTTTAATGTGTCGGTTTGGGAACTTTCGACCTTCACGCACGCACCGATACGGCGCTTACTTTCCCATTGCGCTAAATATTTTGTACTTTCCAAATGTCACGGCACGCTAAAAGTCATGATTGTGAGGGCAACTAATCGAGGGTTTGGCTCGGTCCTCGTCTGGACTGAAGTTCAGGTCACAACGGCTCCTGCCTATGTGGCAGTTCGCACTGAAGAGATATCTAAGATATTGAAGTCTGGCCTGTGCACGTATGGATGTTGGTTTTGTGCCAGGTGAGCCACTGGACCTACTTTAATTTCAAGTGGTTTTCACCTTGTCCGACCAGCAGATTAAGGTGAACGTGAGAAAAAGGAATATATTCGAGGCTACATAAGTCCCTCATCACAATCCAACTGACACTCACATCGTTACTGCTCCCCAGCGTTTTGAAAGTCCTCACCGAGTGGAAGGGATGAACCCGTTAGAAGTCGATATTGGATTTGTATATGCGGTTATGAACACTGACGTCATGATTGAATTTGACCATGGGCCAGAGGAGAATCAATATCTGTATCCATTTCGTCCATTCTCACACTCTGAAGTCGAATCTACTGTACTAACTGAAAAGTAAGAGCTGATTACCTAGGAGGTTCCCCCACCTCCCACATACTTATTGTAAACACGTCTCTGTCTAGCTCTACCCATTAAATTTATTTGCTACAATCGGTTATAACTGATTTTTCTCGAGATTTTCTATGGTTTGGCTTCTTCTGGCGGTTCAAAAATCTGCTCACTTACTGGTATTCAGAAACAAACGCACTGAAACATTCGCTTAATCTTCGCAGTACCCTCGCCTTGGGAGTTAAGAAGTAACTGTGAAAACAAGACGCGGAAGGTTGCGTCAAGGTTTGCCGGACCTCATTTATTCCAGTTTTGTGTTTTCCCGCCGCTACAACTCTTAGTTCATACAAGTGAGGAGAAGTACTTATGCTGTCTGCTGGATAGAAAACCTAATGCACTCTTCTGAAAGGAATAATTAACACCTTCTTACAGATCGATGAAGTGCCCTTGGGATTTTCTGGTTTCGCTTTACAGATAAGCATAACAACCCAGCTGGTAGTAAATGTATGTCAGAAGAGGAGAGTTATCGTATGATAACGCATCCCTTAGAATGTGTAAGAATATACGAACTCGCTACTTTGCAATTCAAGTAAAAAGTAGTGCATAAACGAAACTGCATGCTGATAATTTTGGAACGTAATATCAAGTTATTTCAAATACCATAATACTCCGCCCTTAAAATGAGAAACCTCTCAATCACTTGGGTCGGGATATCCCGTGCGCAGAAACCACTACTTAAATGGCATATATTTATTTCAACTGCTTTCAACGTTGTTGTAAAACCAATTAGTTTCGTTAGAAAGGAAGAAAAAGCTATACAAAGTTATACATTTGACGTTTAGATAACACATTCTGGAATGCGTTTCCGATTAGGAGGGATTACTTAAGTGGGGTTTTAATAATTATTATCATGCAGCATAACCCTATAACATTTCGGACTCGCCAGGATGTCGGCTTTTGAATGCACTTCATTTTGGCCACCTGCAGAAACCACACTCGGTAATAAATGACTACTTAGGTAGCATGCATGTTTACTATTGATTTTCGATGATCTTATAAATTCAAATGTATTTTACAGAAAATATGCACAAAAATACGCTTTCTTTTGCTCATCTGGAAGGAAATCACACTGTGTTCATATTTAATGCCCGAAGAAAGTGTATATTTAGGTTTTAAAAAAGTTTCTAATTATGAGATTTTTAAGAGCGTGCGATGTCCATGCATGCAAGACCGCACACGTCCGTTTACTAATGCTCCTTATGAAATGTACAATACAGTCCGGATCCATTACAAAATTTCGTGAAATCTGTATGACATGTTCTTGAACGCACAGAGGAATATATGATTTTCCTTACGCGGAAAGCAGGCACATTGTAGACTGAAATTGCAAACGCTGATGCAATGACAGATCAGGCTAGAAATTATTTGGGAATCAAGAAACCTTTTAAAACCTAACTATACCCTTTCTTCGGGCATAAAATATGAAGACAATTTGATTTCCTTCCAAATGAGCAAAAGAAAGCGTATTTTGCGCATATTTTCTGTAAAATACACTTAAATTTATAAGACCATCGAAAATCAATAGTAAACATGCATGCTACCTAAGTAGTCATTTCTTACCGAGTGTGGTTTCTGCATGTGGTCAAAATGAAGTGTATTCAAAAGCCGACATCCTTGCGAGACCGAAATGTTATAGGGTTATGCTGCATGACAATCATTATTAAAACCCCACTTAAGTAATCCTTCCTTATCGGAAACGCATTCCAGAATTTTGGCTAACATTTCATGAGATCGGTCACGCACAGTACACGTGTATACGTGTATTATCTCCAGCTTCCTTACGCTTGCATATTTGGTGACTTTTTTATATGTTGTAGGGTTTGCCGCCTGTGTTAAACAAGTAAGTATTTGGACTAAGGAAAGCGTTAAGCCATGCCTGAACGACTCGTCTCTTGGGCCTAATCGTTCTCATTCAGCATTTACTTGTTTGTTCATCTTCAGCTGAGGCAGCAAGCACCAGCTTGTCCACTGTAAAGTGTGGTTCAGCAGGATGCACATGATGGCGTAAGTGCAGGATCTAAAATCGGTGACCAGTTGTACTATGCACAGTTGTACTATTTTCAAGGCTCATTTAGGGTATAGATTTTAATTATCCTGTGATATGCTATTTTTGTAATACTGGAGGGAAGCGGATTTGGCTTTTTCCAGGGTCCTTCATGCGAGGTACAGGAATTTTGCAGAATGATCGTGAGACGGACTAAGCTGGCCGTGTAATAAGTGCAGTGATATGCACCCCATGGTTATGCTTGAAAACCTAATCCAACAGGCATGCGAGAACTTGCAAGCGTAATACGGACGTAGTTAGATAGAAAGAGTCACTGATTAGTTTTGGCAGCAAAGTTCCGTGCTGGGTGTTGCGTTTGTATGGATTTCACCAACAGTGGGAATGCTATGTCAAATTAAAGTAAACAACCTGATTATTTCTGTGGCTGTTTGAGGATCAGCCTTCGCCCGTGAAGCTGTTACTGTTTAGACAACCATTCAAAACAGTGAATATAGATCTTGACAGCACTTAAGAAACGCAAGGAATATTTTTGATTTCTTTTATTTAGAAAAAATAAGCACCCATATTTTGTTAAAATGATATAAATGCGGAATAATTTCACATTATTTAACATTTTTAATCTATTCATCGTGCCTGACCAAAAGGAGGTCTACATTGGGAATTCCCGATGTATGTGACCCAGTATGTTTAAAATGACACGGAATGTGAGATTAACTTAAACAAATATGTTTTCCAGCTACGATTTTAAAACTTTGGTTACAATCTTCAGCTCACCCAACAACAGTAAGTCAATAAGTTGTTGGTGGATTTGAATAACTTATTTGACCCAATTGTGCGAACTCGGCAATCTCAGTGGGAGTCGTGCCCATGACCGCAAGAGTAAGAATCGAGTACGGCCAACGCTCTAACCACCTTAGTTACGAGGCCCAAGCGGGAGCCGTGAGTTCAGTCAAGTTACCCACTCAGTCTACTGAAACGTATGGAATCCTTAAATTCTGATATAGTAAGTTGACTTGCCAAGTGGGATTTCCTAAGCAATTAATTCCAGAATTCACCAAATTACTACCAGGCCCAAGAAATTAACAGTTGCTTTTAGCACACTCTGATAATTAGCTTGACGTGGTTGTAGAAAACTCAGCGGCCTTGATGGGAGAAAGAATTTAATCGCCTGACGTTTCGGATTTATATTCGAGTCCATAATCAAAGACAGTGTCATATACGGGTACTTCGTATACAAGGGGTTGCGGTATTTATAGGATGCAGTCATTATGCTACCGCATACCTAGCAAAGCTAATATCTCCCCCCCCCCCCTAATCAAAAATAATTGCCCTTTTCGCGATAGTGGCCGCAGTTGCAACATCAGTGATGGAGTTGACATGATAATTACTCAGCCATTTGGCTCACCGACGATGACACTGAAAACAGTTTTCGTCTGCTCGTTCCCGCGTTGCAAATTATCCTCCCCTGGCTAAGTCAACACTGAATATGGAGAATGGAGGTCAATGCACTTCTTAATAGAGTGGGTGTCGATGAACCACGGCTCAAGTGACTCGCGACTTACGCGATTGTCATCTATCGCGAGAATTTCGGCCCTATCGAAATTGAGTGTCTGGCAGGGTCTCGGCTAATGAGCCGCGACTTTGGAATTGGCGTCATTTCTCCCCATTGATGCTGTGTGTTCGGCCATTCACGTCAACAGCTATCTTCGGGCTTCTCCGAGGTGGTTTCTTTTTCCGCAACTGTATCATATCCGGCATAAGACTTTTGACGTTTCTTGTCGTGGCAGTAGGTCTTTCAGCCTCATTATCTGGCGCCTGATGGTTGTCTCCGATCTGTGTTTCTCCAATCCCAAGTGGTTTGAGAAGGTAGCTGACGAACTCCGAGACGCTCTTGATGTGGGGAGAAATGACGCCAGCTCCCACGTCGTGTTTCACTTACTTTTTACATTTGTGCATCTTGTCACAGCGAAACTGTCTGATTTTCGCAATAATTGTCAAGTTGTCATTTTTTGCATGCATGTTGTTCCTTTTGCGAATTATGACATTATCCT